GATCGCCGATCCCGCAGCTCGGCTTGTTTCTCCAGCAGACCACGGATCTGTTTCTCCACCGATTCCAGCTCCAATCGTACCGAAATCAGCTCGAATGTGTCCTCACCTGCACTCAGAGGTAACGTTAGACACACATCTGATATGTTCGCCATAACAGATGAACAGTAAATTAGTAGTGATACTACCAATATCACTACTAATTTAGGACTGAAATGCCGGATATAACCTGTATCCTTTCAGTGAACGGGTGTAAAATGAGACGGTCGGTAGGCGCGAGGCCACGCGTGAAATGCTAGCGGACTAAAGGCTAGTAGCCGAGATTCGCAAAGTTGGATCTAAGTAGCGATATCAAAGCAATCCGATTGTTTTTTATAAGGAATAGTATCGAGGATAAGTTCCCAGAATATAAAAATAGAAAGTGCTTGTTTATAAATGAGTGGTAAGGAAGAAAATCAAGGATTAATGAATCGATTCGACGGAGCTTCCAAGCACAAACTAAATGCATGAAAGTTTCTGCGACTGTACAAATATCAATGAAAATAACATTAGTTTTTTATAATACCACTTGCATCTAAGTTGACGCTACCCGAGCTGTGCATGTAAGTTTGCAGTCCGAATTGAATTTGAGATACCATATACCAATGGAAAGAAAACACGAATTGATTTGTCCGCTGGCTGAACACAAAAACAAACATATACAGCTTGGATATTGTAGTTCGATTCATAAACAAATGACTCTAATGAGCAAGTTCTTTTTTACTGAATCAAAAACAATCAAAGGAACCTGTGCATTCCGACTCACAAATAGACGACTTCTCTAGTCTTTTAATAAATCGTTCAAAAACAGTTGTGCTGCATCATAATATACACACTTCCCTACTATAAAGGTAAAAAACTCAATGTGAAAAAAAATTCATAGTATTCATGAAACAGTAGGCAAAAAGTACCTATACTCGGAGGACCTACTAATGCTCTTCTAAAGTTGTGATTACCAGCTTGTCGCATTCAAGTGCTTTGTTTTCAGAAAGAACAGGAATCATGGAGGACACTAGGTTTATTCTTGCCTATTTATTGGGAAAATCTTATTAAAGCCAAAATGATATATAGAGTCCCATTCATTGACAACCATAAGCACCGCTATGTTTAAAGTTTATGGCACGCCCAACTCGGGAACTTGGGAATCAAAATTTTCCCTGAGCTTCCCAGTGGTAAATACGACTTGAGATGGTGTTTATGTCCAATTTTTAGCTATAAGACAGCATATGTATAGGGGTGTCCAAACTCAGTACTAGAGGGCCGCTGTCCAGCAGAGTTTAGTTCCAACTTGCCTCAACACATGCCTGGATGTTTCTAGTATGCCGAGTAAGAGCTAGATTATCTGGTGCAGGTGTGTTTAATTGCGGTTGGAGCTGAACTCTGCAGGACAGTGGCCCTCCAGGAGCAGGATTGTACACCCCTGACCTACTACTTCCAGCTAGATTCTGAAGTGTGCATTCAATGAACACTTTACAATCCTATGAGGCCACGGGAGAGGACTTGTGAATGGGATGACGAATGTAGTACATCTATATTATTACACACATTCATACCATAGAACATAACTTTAACACTTGCAAAGTAATTACTTATTCAAAGAAGTACCTACCCAGAGAGTATGTGAATTCAGACGCAGCCCATAGTTACAGGTTTGAATCGGTCTGCCGAATCCTTTATTGAATTAACTCATTGAATCATTCGGACTGATTTCTGAATCAACATGTGACTCACTTTCAGTGATTTCTGTCTCGAAATGAAGCATGCTTTGTGTATATAAGGTATGTAAGGTTTTTGAAACTTAGATGTAGTTACTGACAGGTTGTTCTTTCAACATTCTCAGTCAGAGTTTTTATATTTAATATTATACAGTATTATTTATATATAAAATTGTCCTTGATGATAAATGTAAATGAAAGTCCACATTCATTGTTGGTTGAGAGTGTGTGTTGTAGCGCAGCAGACTACAGTCATGGTGTCTAATGGGGCGGCACCATGGTGAGGTGCATCCCTAAACCAGTGTACTGTGCACTGGTGTATTTGTGTGTGTGTGTGTGCCTATGTATGTGCGCTTGTATTTATGTGTGCGTTAATGTGTGTGATGTGGTGAGAAACAGATGGTGTAGACTCGCTAACTACCACGGCAACAGAAGCCAACTCCCCCCCTCCCCATCCCCGCCCCTTGCCTGTGGCCCTCTTGAATAATTCATGAGCATGCGCATAGTGACAGAGGGCTTTTGAAGTGCAGGTATGTGCTGCTCTACCACTGGATGTTCCACAAACACACACACATTTGCACAATCTCTCTTAAATTCAGGTTTCGGATGGAGCAATGAGGCTGTGCTGAGGAAAAACAAACAGAAGTGTCATGGCAACCGTTTTATATTAGGATGTTTGTATTTTGAGGGTTTTAGAGAAACACTTTGAGTCTTTGTTGCTCTGTATGCAAGCTCTTTCTATCTTAATTTTTTACTTTTTCCAGCCTTCTGAATCAAAGCTGCTATTGCCGTTTCTTTAAAATAATAAAAATTGCTATAAGACATAAGAACAAAAAGTACTGTACATTAGAATTTGTATAGATGAGGTGTAGATGAATAAATCTTCAATAATATTTTTTAATATAGTTTTTTAAGCCTGAATATTATACAGCTTATAGTCCAAGTTTTGGAATCATAAAGGAATAGTTCATACAAAAAAATATTTTATAATTAGTCTTTTTATCATTTACTCATTCTATTCTAAACGCAAATGACTTTCTTTCTTCTGTGGAACAAAAAAAAGTATTTTCTTTTGCAGAATGTTCTTTTGTGCATCTGCAGCTCTTTTAAATGGGGCGGGAGAAGACCATCAAGCTCCAAACATGTCAAAAATGCACTATAACAGTGGGTGAATTCAGATAATTTGGTCCACACTGCAAAATAACTCCTTTTGTATTCCATAGAAGAAAGACAATTAATTTGGAATGACACAAGGGTAGGCAAATGATTACAGAATTTTCATTTTTGAGTGTTCTATCTAGACTATAGGGCCTAACATTAACGGGCCAGTGCTGCATCGTCACCGAAATTTAAGCCTTGCCAATTTAAATATTCACGTGCAAGAAGATGCGAAAGTGAACTCAATTAATTACTTGAACGCTGTGGTAAGTTTTCAGTGTGCAAACATCCTAAGCACGCACCTAGAAAGCCGCATTTCAGGCAGTACGCTAATACGGAATTAAGCTCTCTTTCACATATTCTTGCACTTGAAAGGACAAATTCTCACAAAGTATCCTAGTAAACATAGTCGGTTATGTCTTAAGTGAACGTAAATAGATGAGAAAGAAAACGCATGTGTACAATATCAGTATATTGGATCCGTGCAGGTCTTAAAGTGACAGCAGCCTAATAATCCGGCTCCTATCTGTGTCGTTAATGTTAATCAAACAACAAAAGACAAAGAGAAAATCACTTACTGCTCTTGTCTGAAAAAGTTTTTTTTAATTTTAATAAGAATTAATCAGGTTCATTTATACAGTGAAGACTATGCAGCCAGTGTTATTTTACATTAGATTCCTAAAATTTCTTTTACACATTACATTTCTATCCCTGAAAATTGTGAAATTTCACTGGTATCTAAAATTTTGGTTTCATTGCTGCTTGTTTTGGCAAAAAGTTTTAGGCCCTGGTTCTATCCCTTTAAATCATGAATTACTTGTTTCAAACAGTAAGCTAGTCAAAGTCTCAAATAGGTATCTCTATCCCCATCTCACGCCATTGGTGGAGCGAATGCTGTAGTTTCAACCTAGTTGGGATGCTTAAACAGATTGCAATATTTATTTATTTTTTGCCACCAGGGATGCAGAAATGACTAAGAAAATTTATACTTGATTTTGGGTTGTGGTCTGACTCTTCTCTCCTCCCCTTTGCACTGAGTTTAATTTGGTTGGTCAGAAGTGGATCTGATTACTGAAGTACACTTTATGCTCAGAGTTTAGCCTATGGTGAAATGTTTAACATAATTCCGAATAGATTTCTATCTTAAAATATAATTTGGTCTACACACTCATTACAAAAGACACAAGAGAGAGGGGTGAAAGGAAAGGTTAAGTCTAATGGGCAGACATTTTCTCTCCACACACTTAGATTGATCTGATCATTAAGCAGCTGCTAGAGGGTGAGAGTGTAAAAGATCTCTGAGGAGAAATCATTTGACATGGGCAGATGCATTAAAACAATCACACACTGAATCTGAATCTGAGGTTGGGAATCTCAGAAGATTGAAAACGACAAAAAATAAACAGTTTTCTGTTGTGGCAATGTCGGTTATATGTGAATCAATGTGTGTGTGTCTTTGTGGTCTCTTGAAACTCGCTCACCCCTATTCCCAAACACACACACACACACATGCATGCAACACACTTCAAACATCCAAACCCGAACACTCGTGCCCCCAAGCCTTTGGTTGTTAGTGGAGCACAATGGGAAAGATCTAATATCTTGTGGCATGTGATGTAGGAAGATTGACTGACGCACACACACCAAGAAACATGTGTATATATTCTTGAAGTGTGTGGGGTGATGTATGATGACAGGTTTCTCTTAACCCTTTGTGGATTGGTGAGGGAAAGATTCCCTTTGGTCATTAAACACACTTTACCTGGGGTTAAAAGCGAGGTTTAGAACAAGGATATCTAGGGGGTTAATGCACAGTGTGAAAAGCCCTGAGTATATGTGCATCTGCATCATATACTGCCTGTCTGTATATGTATATATGAATCAGTGTCTAAATGTGTAAGGGTGGAAAATTAAATAGTTGTTGAGGTGACTATCTCTACTATGAATTGCAAAGGCACTTCAGTCTATCTCAATTCTCTGTTTCAGTCAACATCGATGCATGTTGTAAGCTATCTAAAATTTGACTGTTTCAAATAGTTGACTGAATAGATCCTTATATATTCTTTATTTCTCTGTTTCTCTCTCTCTCAGAGGAGGACACCTCTAATGTTCAGATAATGTGTGCGTGGTGTCAGAAGGTGGGAGTGAAGCGTTATTCTCTCAGTATGGGCTCTGAACTGAAGAGTTTCTGTAGTGAGAAATGCTTCGCTGCCTGTCGACGTGCCTACTTCAAACGCAACAAGGTAAACGCCCAGTCTCCACCTCTTCCTGTCCCCTCAGCCAATCAGGCTCCTTCTGTCTGATGTCACTTCTTCTGTTCTGCCTTTACCTTTTTCAGTGTTACTAAATTCTTTGGCTCAAAACTGTAAATGACTCTTACTCTGTTAAATGATACATTATAGTTTTAAGCAGGTATCACATATAGTGATTCACTCATGACAGTTACAGTCATTTTTTTCCCACAAGTAGCAGTATGTCTAGAGTCCTTATTAGGTTATTATTCTGATCAGCTGAAACACTAAGTTATTTTTTCATTTTTATTCGTTGGTAGGCCTATTTGTACTTTACTGATACTTTTGAACATGGTTGGTTCACAAAGACAAGCTGATGGCATGGGTTATTCCTATTATGCAGTACGTTTTAATGTTCTCATCAAACATAACTGTATAAAATATTATACTCACAATTTTAAAGATTGAGATTATCATTTTGGTTAGTTTTCCTTTATCATATATCACTTCACATCATTTTAGTTTTTTATGTTATTTACATTTATAGAATATATTACTTTAACTAAGAAAATGCAATCATTTTTGTGGGGTAAAAAAAAACACAAGCAGCTTTGAGTATTAGCAATGGATTAGATGATCTCTGTGATGTTTTGTAGTATTAGCTGGGTTGTCTCACTTCAGCCCGTTTGATAAAATTACAGAAATAAGCTAACTCTCTCTGCTAACTTTATTTCCATCCTGTTAATTTTCTTAGTTATGATTAATAATGTGTAATATTTCTGAAAGTCTGATTTACCCCCAACGCAAGAATATTCAGCAATGAACCTCATTTAGATTTAGACCTCATGCCATCAGAGTGAGACAGATATTGATTGTGTGTTTTCTTTTCTATCTAAGCTTGGATATGTGAGGAATTGCAGTGTAAGTATACTGTGTTTGGATTTCTCCTCTCCTCGTGTGTGTTAAAGACCCGTACACTTATTCACACACTGATGGAACTCATAATATCATGGACGCATGCAAACACCCCCCCAGACATACATATATTATGCACATACACATGCATAAATAAAACACAGGCTTATGCACATGTATACAAAAGCACACAAATCCACTATAACACATGCATACGTACACACACAAGAGTCTCACATGCATGCGTACACACTCCCACATGCATGCATGTTTGTTCACAGCCACCCCTCGCTTAGTGTGTGGTGTGTTTGAGGATAGAGTGGACAGCATGAAGAGACCAACAAACATGCAAACATGACCAGAGATTTGCTGAAGCTACCACACACACGTACAAACACAAATGCAAACAGTACTCTTTCTCTCTCACACACACAACACATAGGGATACACAAAGCAGACACAAACAATTGTATACATTTCATGAATTGTAGAGCAGTGTAGAAGCCCAGGGACATAGAGACAAAAAAGTGTACAAAAAAATACTTTGGTGTTTTTTTCTAGACTGTAGAAACTATAGACTCTAAGTTAAGATTACACTGCGTTAAATGTGTAAAAATCATATCATTCACACAGCTGAATTTAAAACAGGAATGTTACAGACATATAGATGTAAATGTACACATATATTCTGTTACTGAAATCCACCACCTTTCAAAAAAAGAAAGAAAGAAATCAGTCAGAAAATGAAAGAGAGACAGACAGAAGTAAGTAAGTGCAGGCAAACATTTACACAAACACAGAGGGACTTTTAATTCCATGAATTTACAACAACGGTCAAGCCATTTTCATAATGTTGGGTTATTTTTCAACCTAAAATAAAAAAATAAATATGAATGGTCCTAATGAAGGCTATTTTAATTAACCATTACTTTAGCATTTCATGACAGTTGAGCATTAATTAAGTATTCAAATATTTATTATTACCATAGTGAAAAAGATTCTCTTTCTCATTACTGTACCAGAAAGAAAACAATGAAGTAAAATATTTATACATCATGGTAGTAGCTATTTATTATATCTGCCCTAGAATTTATGCTGATTAAAAAAAAACTCATTGCACTAGAGTAATGATAATCTAATGACATTTCCAAAAAAATACCTGGACATATTATAGTAAAGAGATTTTTGTGGGGGAAATGTGCTAACATAATGAAAAAAAATATCAGTATGATTTTTAGTCTATTTATTTTGTTGTTGATTTTGGGGTGGAATGTGACCTAAACTTTAAGAGACTCGCCCCTTTTATACATTTGTGAAGTGATTTTGTGCAACGTTATTAGTTTGTGCAAACTGTTTCAACTTCTGTAGATTAAGTCATTGGAGGAATATGGCCTGGATATGTTTTTGTGAGATTCATCTGAATATTGATTCAACCCTGTGAAGTTCACAGCAGAGCACAACATGTTGATGTGTGTTTTCTCTGATCTGCTGTCTAATTTCCATTGTCTGTGTTTTTAGCATAAAAATGTTAGCACGGTCCAGTTATTAAACGTTATTAGAGTCTCACGCATAATGAAGAGAACAGCCAGTGTGTGCTGAATGACATCATCTGATATGTTGATACGGTCAGTGTAGTCTGTTATTATTATAGTGTAAACTGTGAGGTCGTTTTGGCACGTCCGTAGATGTTTGGATGCTGTATCTGGTTCTCTGAGGAGACACGTCTGTGGAATGCCAAACGAACGTCTGGCAGGAGCAAGTTCATTTCATCCCACCAATCATAGAGCTGTTTACTTCGCTCCTTTGACGATTCTCCTGGCGTTCTGCCACCACTGCGACTCCACCTTTATTTCTATAAATCATTAGGAGGGGGAACTTTATTACGCTCTAAGATTATATGAACATTTCCTCTTTCTCTTTTGTCATGTACACCACAAGGTCAGCTGCAAAGATAAGCAGTGTTGAGCATGTGTGAAATAAGACACTGGGAGGGGCGGTGGGTCTGATGTTACTGCAGTAAATATGCTACATCTGCAAAACTCATAACGGAAAAAGAGAAAGCATACACATAATACATATCTTTATTCTCTATCATCCCACCGGCCCAACTTATGTAGTGAAACATCCTCACACCAGCTGCTTCAGGTGATTATAATTCCTCCACATTAAAGGTGTGTGTGTTTGTTTTATGTGTTAATAAGGAGTGTCTTCCTCAGAGGAAATGTGGTAAACCTCTGTCAGACACACACACACACACACACACACACACACAAAAACAGTATTGTTACTGTATTGTGTTTATTGTGTCAGACGGTGGGCTCGTTTTACGGTGTCCAAATCCTCATATTTGCGTGTGCGTGTAGGTGCTGAGGTAATGAATTTTGACAAGATATTTTTAGGCCTCATGAAACCTTAGAGTAACTGAATATTTTGAATACAGAGAAGTGTGTCCATATATGGTGATTTGTTCTGGACTGAGGTGAATAGGACTGCAATGTGTGTTTGTGATGAACAAGGCTTTATAAGAAAGAACTTGGGTCACTCTAAGTCAGTTACAGTGAGAGTTTATTGTAGGTCTTCAGTGGCAGTTGCCATTAGGAAAACACAATTATAGTGAGAATATATCAAGGACAATGTTGGAAAGTCTCAGTGTTAGCCATCAATATCAAAGAAGTGGAAATCATTTCTATAGTATAATTTTCTTCAGACATGTACACTTTTGGGCATGGTATTTTAAGAACCTTGGAGTACCATGTAAAACACCATTTTATAGAACAGATAGTTCAGACATTACAAATTTAATTTTAATAAACATTTTGTTCTTAATATTTTATTGGAGTAGCCTTTTTGTACTAGCTGTAAAAGCAATAACGTACAGTATTTGAGGCCATGCTGTATATTTTGTAAAAAAAAAAAAATTGATTTTGTTTAATGTTTTTGAAAGATGTCTCTCATGCTCAGCAAGGCTGCATGTATTTGAACAAATAAACAGTAATGTTATTAAATAGTATTACAATTTATTAATTACTTTAATATATTTGAACATGTAATTCATTTTTTGATGGAATTTAATAGAATTCATGAATTTGGTGGAATTTGAAAAGCTAAATTTTCAACATCATTACTCCAGTCTTCAGTGTCCCATGATCCTTCTGAAATTTTCTCGAAACAATAAGTTCATATCTTTTAGTTTCTTGTTCAGGCCAGATTTGAATTTCTTATTGCACATTTTTTGGCACATGTGCAAACGTTGCACAGTAACAGTAACACTTTGCACAGTAACAAAATTCACATGGCTTAGTGATGAAAACTGATGTTGATTCTTAGTGAAATTGTCTTCACAACTTCTAAACATTATTTCATCGTGTGAGCCATCTCATGCTAAATGGTCATTCAGTTATCAAAATCTGTCAGACATACTGTATATGTATTTCCCATAAATATCCATGGTATGGAAAACATTATATTATATATAAATGTGCATATTCTTTTCCGGTGTACTATTGACTTTCCCTAGTAAACTTTGTTGAAATCTGTATTAAAAAAAACTCTATTAAACTCTATAACTGTATTTGACACAGAACTTCGACAACATTCAGCTTGACAAAGCTGACAGTCAGTGTCAACAAAAAAAGTAAAACAAAGATGAAATTTATATATGACGAATTTTGCACTTTTTTTGTATTTCCCGGGCTGACTGCCATGGTGAAAAAAAAACTTTGAAACATTTTGAACAGTACGGCTCACACGATGATAAACACTTTTCATTTTGGTGCCATTGGCCAATTTCCTGACACAATAACTGGGTTTAGAAGAAGTTAAATTAAATGTTCTGGCTGAGTTATTATATTTTGCAGACATGCAATAGTTGTGATGTCCCATAGAATGTTAAGACTGTTTTAATAAAAAAAAGAGTCAAAGCGATTGAGGGAAAACACTGTTGAAAGAGTTGCTGCAGATTTTTTTTATGGAAACCATGATACAGGATTCTTTGATTAATAGAAAGTAAAAAAACAACAACATTATATTATATAAAAGATTATAATAAATAATTATTGTAATAGATAATCTTTCTGATAGATAAAATTCTAATTATTCTAACTAATAAATTCAACTATTTACTAAACATTGGTGTCTCTTATTATAATGTTGTTGGCACCATTTTATAAAAACAAGCGGCATTACAGTGATTTTACCATTTAGGAATCATTTACCCATAGTACAATCACTGTAATGCATGGCCTTGAGTTGCTTATTGCTTAAGTAAATGATAATGGGAATCATTAAGTACCATGGTATAAATCAAAATGCATTGTGTTATCATTAGAAATGATCAATGTCCTCAAAACTGTCAAATGAATTAAAAAGAGTCAATCAAAGAAAAGAGTCAATTAAAGAAAACGTACAAATGAACTCGAACATCTGGGCAAAACAACCATTTTAAACCGACTAGGAGATGGACACACCGACAGACAGTCACACCAGTTTGTGCTTCATGCCTGAAAACAGAATTAAACGCAGCTCTGCCAATAAGAGCAAGAGAAAAGATATACTGAATGGCCATGTGTGTGTGTGTGTGTGTGTTGGAGAAATTGTAACTCTTTTAAATGTTAAATTTGATTACAGTGTTTAAAATCTGACGAAGCGTAAATTATCAGCCTGTAAATGGTGATGTTGATTTACTCACATCTCATTCATTTACTCATAGCAAATGCGAACATGCATAGATCTATAACCGTTCGATTATTTTGAAAGTTGGAGTGCAGTTTCTCTGAAACAACTCTATAACAATGTGTCTGTGTGTGTGTTGGAAGCTATTGGGCCTCTGCTTCCTGAGGTCTTGTTGCCATGGCGTTGTGACTCATGGTGCAGGGTGATTATTTCATAGCTTCTAGCCAAGAGAACAAACATACACACTCTGAAATCACTCTCTCACACATATATAGACTTACACACATTACGGACACACCCTGGGCAACATGTCAGAGCAGTGGAGAAATGCTTATATAGAGTTAAGGAGTTAATGTCAACTGCCAAATGCAGGATGGATGGATGGATATTGTAAAATGAATGATAGATAGATGATAGATAGATAGATAGATAGATAGATAGATAGATAGATAGATAGATAGATAGATAGATAGATAGATAGATAGATAGATAGATAGATAGATAGATAGATAGATAGATAGATAGATAGATAGATAGATAGATAGATAGATAGATAGATATTGTAAAATGATGGATGGAGAATGAATGAATGAATGGATGGATGGATGGATGGATGGATGGATGGATGGATGGATGGATAGACAGATGGATGGATGGATGGTTATTGTAAAATAGATAGACGGACGGACGGACGGACGGACGGACGGACGGACAGACAGACAGACAGACAGACAGACAGACAGACAGACAGATAGATAGATAGATAGATAGATAGATAGATAGATAGATAGATAGATAGATAGATAGATAGATAGATAGATAGATAGATAGATAGATAGATAGATAGATAGATAGATAGATAGATAGATAGATAGATAGATAGATAGATAGATAGATAGATAGATAGCCTAACATGTATGCGTGTTCATTGGTGTTCCAGGATGTGCCTCATATGTGTCCCTTCCATGTCCTTGGAGAAGTATGTACCTGGCAATGTGCAAAACTCTCTCACTCACACGCACGCGCGCACGCACGCACACACACGCACGCACGCACACACACACACACACACACACACACACACACACACACACACACACACACACACACACACACACACACACACACACACACACACACACACACACACACACACACACACACACCTGGGTTGGGCTGGGTTGTGTGATGCCCAGATGGTCACTGGCAGAGATGTGGTTGAAATGCTAAAGGCCCGGTGGCATAATACATACAAACTGCTACAATTTGGGGCATGATTTACAATAAGAAGGCACAGAGTTGTCTTCATATATTATCCGTCTCAGCCGCTCTGCAGTTTTTGGTTACTTAATACAGTTTTTTTCGATTGCTAAACGACAGTGAGCACAACTGGAGCTACATGTGCAAAACTCTAACTAAAGTCTGCACTACCAACAGTGATCTGAGCTAAACAGTTCACATCACCTGCAAAACTCATTCCAAGCAACACAACACTTAACACATGGCTCAAAACAGGCTCAGTGCAGCAAACACTATGCACAACCCTCACTGAGATAACACACACGGTCACTCAGAACACACTGAGAGTAAAAACACTACACAACCCTCACTGAGATAACACTGTCACTCAGAACACACTGAGAGTAAAAACACTAGCATCAAACACCAATACAGAAAATACAAACTTTTCATCTTTACAATTTGAACAATTTCAGTGACTTCATACAAAGTAGTATTTTCTTCAAAGAAAAGAGTGACATTCTTTCACATGATTTATTTACAGTTTTTTTCGATCGCTAAACGACAGTGAGCACAACTGGAGCTACATGTGCAAAACTCTAACTCCAGTCTGCACAGCAGCAGTTCATGTGGACCAAACTCTAGTTCGTTTTTCAGTGCTTGAACACAGTTTTCAAAACTCTACACACTTATCCCATGACTTTAACCACAACCTGCACAACACTGTGGATTTACAGCACTTTGTCCAAATGCTAACACACTGCTGTCAAAACTGTGAACCATACATTCAAAATAGAATAGATTTCAGCTTTGTGCCTTTCAAACACTGCTGAGTGCACACACACACACACACACACACACACACACACACACACACACACACACACACACACACTGCTGAGTGCAATTTCAGCTGAAAGGCTAAGCAGGTGTCTTGTTTTAGACTTGTTAGTGAACACACACAAATATATATATATATATATATATAGGTAGAGCTCAGAAAGACTCATTTTGGAAATGGAACAAGGAAGACGGGTTCGTGGAGGGAGAAGGGTGGCAGGGAGAGGGCGGGTTCGTGGAGGGAGACAAAGAAGACAAAGAGCTGTTATTTCAGATGAAATAAGGGCTACACTTATAGACCATGTCGTGAACCATGGTCTCTCATTGAGAGAGGCAGGGTTGAGGGTGCAACCCAATCTGCAAAGATCCACAGTGGCATCTGTAATGCAAATTTTCCATCGTACAAACAGGTGAGAGTTACATCCTTACAATAAATAAAAACATAACAGGAAATTGTTTTGTATTGCAATTATAGAATATTTACACAGATATAGAGGAAGGAATGTTATAGGTCAAAGGGCCACTGTGGAGGTTCCAGGCCAAAGGGGGGGGAAATATCACCATGTGTGCTGCAATGGCCAATGATGGTTTGCTTCTCAACACACCACTCATTGGCTCATACAACACAGAAAGGCTTATAGCTTTCCTAGAAGAGCTCTATGCTCAGCTAGTGCCAGCAGAACAAGGGGAGCCAGTATGAAACCCACAAGTTTTTGTCATAGTTTGCGATAACGTTGCATTTTACCACTCTGCAGCTGTCACAGATTGGTTTGCAGCACATCGCAGATTTATGATTTTGTACCTGCCTGCATATTCACCCTTCCTCAACCCAATAGAGGAGTTTTTCTCTGCCTGGAGGTGGAAAGTGTTTGATCACCACCCACATGACCAAATGTCTCTTTTGGAAGCCATGCGTGCCAGATGTGAGGCCACGAGTCCAGAGGACTGCCAGGGATGGATAAGGCACTCCAGAAGGTTCTTCCCCAGGTGCATGGCAAGAGAGAACATTAGATGTGATGTTGACGAAAACCTGTGGCCTGATGCTAGAGAGAGGCAGGATTAGCATTAGCCCCTCAATTATTTGTTAGAATTACAGTATGTACTTTTAGTTTCTACCTTTTTTCTCATTACTGTAATTTCGTAAATTACAGTACTACAGACTATTGAAGCAAACTGCTAATTTTCATTTACCTTAAAGAATTGTTATGTTCTAAAAATGTAAATAAATATTACTTTCTATGAAGTCACTGAAATTGTTCAAACTGTAAAGATGAAAAGTTAGTATTTTCTGTATTGGTGTTTGATGCTAGTGTTTTTACTCTCAGTGTGTTCTGAGTGACAGTGTGTGTTATCTCAGTGAGGGTTGTGCATAGTGTTTGCTGCACTGAGCCTGTTTTGAGCCATGTGTTAAGAGTTGTGTTGCTTTGAGTGAGTTTTGCAGGTGATGTGAGCTGTTTAGCTCAGGGGACTGTTGGTAGTGCAGACTGTAGTTAGAGTTTTGCACATGTAGCTCCAGTTGTGCTCACTGTCGTTTAGCGATCGAAAAAAACTGTAAATGTTTAGAACATAACAATTCTTTAAGGTAAATGGAAATTAGCAGTTTGCTTCAATAGTCTGTAGTAATTTACAGAATTACAGTAATGAGAAAAAAAAGGTAGAAACTAAAAGTACATTCTGTAATTCGAACAAATAATTGAGGGGCTAATCCTGCCTCTCTCTAGCATCTCTAGCTGAAATTGCAATCAGCAGTGTTTGAAAGGCACAAGGCTGAAATCTATTCTGTTTTGAATGTGTGGTTAACAGTTTTGACAGCAGTGTCTTAGCATTTGGACAAAGTGCTGTAAATCCACAGTGTTGTGCAGGTTGTGGTTAAAGTCATGGGATAAGTGTGTAGAGTTTTGAAAACTGTGTTCAAGCAATGAAAAACGAACTAGAGTTTGGTCCACATGAACTGCTGCTGTGCAGACTGTAGTTAGAGTTTTGCACATGTAGCTCCAGTTGTGCTCACTGGCGTTTAGCAATAGAAAAAAACTGTAAGCCGTCAGGTACATTGAGTAGTGTATGTCTGCATGTGGCTTTATCTGTGTGATGGTGTATGAAAGAGGCTGCATGGTGTGTGTGGTTATTTCTTGGAGCACCATCATGCCTCAAGTCATTAAGACTGCGGATATGCCGTGTGTGTGTGTGTGTGTGTGTGTGTGTGTGTGTGTGTGTGTGTGTCTGTGTGTGTGTGTGTGTGTGTGTGTGAGAGAGAGTATGCAGCCTCATTAGTGCTATATGTAAATGAGTTGGCTCGAGTCCAGAGGGGTCACAGACACTACTACACAAAATAAAGACTGAAGATTTCACAAGTGTGTGTATGAGCAGACTGATGTTCTTCAGTATTTTCGTGTGTGAGATGTTTGTCAGCAGTGGCATTGAGATCCTCAGACAGCTCAGAGAGAGTAAATCATTGAGAATATGAAGGAACCACATTGCTTTCCTTTAAGATCAGTTTTCAGTGTTATTTTATGATTTTTTTAATTTAATTTAGAGTTGCTTCTTTTTTCAGCACTGCTTTCCCCCCAATTTTCTAGAATATTTCTGAATTAAAACAAATTCTGCTTTTGAGATATTTCAAGGTTTTAGTATCTAAAACATTTCTTGTTTCAATCTACCATACTATTATACAGTGTAACATATTTTGAACACACACAGGCACACACTCACACACAGAATGTCTCTTTTCTATCTATACATGTCAGTTCAGCACATGTTGTTTTTATTCTCTCACTCAATTCCCTCATTCACATCATTCTTTCTTTCTTTTCTACATCTGTTATGTATGTGTTTATTTTGTTTTGGCCATGCATAAAAAGGGACATTATGTTTTTCCTTTAGGCCAGAGAGGAGGAGGGCGTTCCGCACCACAGCTTGTCCAAAGACACGCCCAGACTTGTCCTCAAGACAAACAGCGATGTGCTTGTAAGATATAAACCATTTAACACCCCAAAATTAGAGATGTAGAAACAGCATATGCATATTGATTAATTGAAAAATTGTGTGATTGTGACCATGTCTGAAAGTCTTAAGTCTTAATTCTGAAATGTGGTGTGAACAAAACTTTTGACCTGTTTGTTCAAAAAAAAAAAAAATTGGAAAGACTTTTTTTTTATTGTGACATTATTTTATGCAAGTATGCAGTAATATTAAAATCCTAGCCAATATTGATAAACCAATAATTATTGTAATGTTATGGCTAATTTGGTCGATATTAAAATTAATTCCATAAATTAATGTTAAAAAAGCACTAAAAACTAAAATCTGTCATTTTAAATGCTACAGATTACAGATTACAAATAATATATAGACTACATTATGAAAAATGACATGAATTTTTACAATTTATATTTAGCAGTGATATTAAATGATTAAATGAGTGCTTTTAAAGATTATTTTTAATATCGATAACTATAATAATAGGTCAGATATCATTCGTTAGTCAATATTGTGATGAGATATATCATACCAATCATATCAACTTTACGGCAATTATCATTATTAATATATATATATATAGCCTATATTGCATTACAGTGATGAGAATAATGTCACAATCAAAAACATGACGACTCTAAATAACTTCTTAATGTGGTTGTTATATTTTGGAGTGAGATATGACCCAGAAATTCCTTGCCATTATTTTATAGTGCAAAAACAGCATAGCAAAATTGTTTTAGCTTCTGTTGATTAAGACTTAGCACTTGACCCAAGACTGGTCATATCACACCTGCACTGTTAACTCAAGACTAGGTCATGAGGTGTTCTGCGTATCTATTTTATTAGCTGTAAAATCAGTTTGTTATACATCTCTGACATTCCATTTTTCATGTTTTTATTTCAACATTGCCAATCTGCATTGAATGTTACTGTTTGCCACATGAATGGACAAGTGGGATATGTGTATGTGTGTGTGTATAAAATCAGCATATGGCTGGTCGAGAACAGACACATTCTGGGGACAGAGGGTGTGTGTGATGCGAAAAGAAAAGCATTAGCACGGAAACTTCCTTTCTAACATTGAGTTGGCAGCCGTACGTTAGCAGGTAATTACAGTAAAAGAGCGTACAGCTACACACAGCATGGTCACGGACATCGGCTTAACGGCTACAGCAGAAGTAAATGACAGTAATTACCTCTCAACCATGTTAGAGAGAGAGAGAGAAAGGCAAAATAAGGGTGAGTGAAAGATTAAGAGAAAGAGAGAGAGAGAAAAGAAGTCCATTAGGGTAATGTGCAGTAAAATTTCTCTTAGAGAGCCGTGACTCGTTAAGTGGTCTCCATCTGTCTCGCTTTTTAAACTCAGGAAATATGAAAATCATTTATAATTGAGAATATCCAGGCTCGCCTTGAGCTGGTTTGTGCTTGTTAACTGGCATGGTTAGAGCTTCCATATTTAAAACTTAAAACTTCATTAGAACATCACATATTCATGAATGAGTGGCGTCTGTTAGCCATATTCCAGCCAGCTTCTTTCATATCAAGCCGATTTCAGTAAGATTGGATTACTAAGTAAGTATGTAAGATGTAGCCTACATTTGTATGTAGACAGTCGATCATATTGATCTCTTCAGGTGCTGTACGTCCGTCGTGTCAAAATGTATTTGTGGATTCTTAAACTAAAAAAATTCATTCATTTGAACTAATTTTATTAATCAGTATTTTACAGTAAAAATATCTAAACATCCTTAAAACAACATAAATGTTGTCACGAAGCAAAGTAATATAATAAGACTTTTCAGAGAGAATATAGCTCGAAGTTTCCCAACTTATTTTAAACAAAAACCTCATTGTACTATAGCAGAGCTGTGCATACAGCAAGAAAACAAAAACTATTCGTGGGGTAAAAAATAAAAATAAATAATTCAATATATATTTTATCTGAAAATACTTATTTTATGCACTTATCTAAAGTAAGTTAATTTTGTTTTAAGTTTTTTTTTTTTTTTTTACTGGATGTGTTTTTGTGTCTGAATGTGTTACTATGTGTGAATATGTGACCACATTTCGTCCAAGCCAGTGATTTCACATGATCCAGCTTCCCCTTCCTTCCTTCCTTCCTTCCTTCCTTCCTTCCTTCCTTCCTTCCTTCCTTCCTTCCTTCCTTCCTTCCTTCCTTCCTTCCTTCCTTCCTTCCTTCCTTCCTTCCTTCCTTCCTTCCTTCCTTCCTTCCTTCCTTCCTTCTTTACTTCTTTACTTCCTCCCTCCCTCCCTCTCTCCCTCTCTCCCTCTCTCCCTCCCTCTCTCCCTCTCTCTCTCTCTCTCCCTCTCTCTCTCTCTCTCTGTGTGATGAATGTCCATCTTTGACAGTAGTGGCATATGATAAATGCCTTCATTATCTTCAGTGGAACTCTGGCTTTGGCAGTCAATTCACTAGTCTTAAGAGAAATCTCTGTCTCTGCAGTCCGCTCAGGCAGGCCTGGGGCAAATCAGATTCAGATTCAAAAAAGCATTGTTGGTTTTAAAATCAAAGGCGTAAGGTTGTCAACGCATTAGCAAACAGTACACACTTTTGAACACCACACATATCAAAATAAGCAGGCATAGGAGTTTGTAGCTATTAGATTTCTATTGTGTTCAGCGTGTGTGGAGATACGGCATTAGATTAAGAAGTGTAATTTTGTTTCTACCTGATTTTGGGGCAGATTCACCACTGCAGCACTTTAGCATGCAGTGTTTTAGTGCAAAACATGCCTGTTTTCTATAATAATTAGACTTATAATGGATAGCTATACCACAATCTAGCACTTAGAACTGACTCACAAGATGGAGAATTTCAAGTATTTGGGTGTGTTTGCACCATTACTTAATTTGCATAAAATCTTTAAGTGAATTGGAAGCTAAAAAAAAAACTCAAAAAGTGCAGGCAAATAAACAAAGTAATTAATTCTCTGTAAATTCCCTCTTCTGTCTGCAGTTAGTTGTGTTGCCAGGTCTGTCTGTGTCTACTTGTCTGTCTTTTTGACAAGCCAAATGTTTGCAAACCTCTTTCTATGTACTCTACTCGCCAGGCCTGAGGCAAAGTTTTGTCTATCTGCACTCAACTACTTCAACTGACCTCCTCTCTGGAGATTGACAGCCTTATCAACTCCAAGACACTTTTGTTGAGTGGTTAGACAGACAAAACTATCCTGGCAGAAAGAGTGTCAGAGAAAAAGTGAGAGACAGAACAAGTGGTTAATCATTTAGTACTTTCTTATTGGATATTCATGGCTATGTTCATCTTTCTATGTTTTGGTGTGTCTATCCCCCTGTTAAATTACTCTATTCTTTGCCTTAGCAGAACACATCATATCCTTTAATTACCCAGAGTTCCATCTCCCTTTCTATTGTCGCACTCATACATGCTCACGCAAACCAGGTTTAAGCCCCTCGTTCCTGTCTATCTCAGTCTGTTGTCACTGTCTTTCTCAGTTAGTGTCACCTGCTGTGCCACACATACACACTCACACACACACACACACTCAGAATCCACATACATAATTGCCCCTTGAAGGGAAAACCTTTTAGTCGTAGCTGTCAGTTTGACCCTGTAGCTTGCCTTAGGCAGCTGACTCCTGACATCTTGTAATGAGTGTGTCTATGTGTGTATGAGGATGTATGTGTTGAAAATACAGAGACATTATGTTAGGAAGAGTTAGAGAACGTTAATCAGAGAATAACTAAAATTACACTCTCCTTTAGCATTTTTAAATGTATTATATTATTTTATTTTATATTTATTAATTTAATATTTAATTGCAATATTAATTATTTCATTATGATGATTTATTTTCTAATTCATTTTTTTTATTATAAAATATTACTTTTGTAATCTGTGAAAGATGATCATCTGAGAGCTTTTTTTATTTGAATCTTTCATGACATAAACCACATTTCTCTTCACACTTAGGTGGTTATAATGCTATCTCTTTTATCCCCTAAACCCTATAATCTTACATAGATCTGACACTTTACAAAACACACACACTTCACATACTGCGTTCTAAAGGACTCTCTTAGTCATAAAGGACAACCATACTCTTTTAATGATGTCTTAGTCCATGGAGAGTGTTTAGATTAGAATTTGTATACTTTAAAATAGACATTGTGAAAATGAAGCTGTAGTTTACATTGTTCACTTTGCAGTTGTTCATGTTACAGGTCTGCGATTGGTGCAAACACATCCGCCACACTAAGGAATACCTGGATTTTGGAGCGGGTGAGAGGCGGCTTCAATTCTGCAGTGCAAAGTGTCTGAACCAATATAAGATGGACATATTCTATAAAGAGACTCAGGCCGCACTGCCAGGGGGTCTGTGTAACCCTCCTCTCCCCACGAGTGATACGAAATCAGAGAGTGGAGGAGGTGTACAGCTCCTTACACCTGAGTCCTGGAGTGCACCTCTAAGCGAGCTCCGCAGTCGTAGGGTACCTTCACCAGGGGGTGCCACCACTGTGGCCGGACCTTCTGGATCCACGTCGGGGTCACCATCTGAAACCGGAACTGTGTGTTCCTCCTCGTCCTCGTCATCCTCGTCTTCATCATATACAAAAATCCCCACACCACGGCCACACGAAAGCCCCGCATTACCGCCACACCCTCCACCACATATAGCAGGTTTACATCCAGCTCTGGGGATGCCTCCTGGCAGCCCGCCGATGGTCATGACACCCCGTGGCCCGGTCCCTCTCCCTTTCTTTATGGAGCACCAGATGATGCAGCAGATGCGGCCTCCGTTCTTACGTCCCCCAGGCCCCAACAGCCCTCATTCCAATCCCATGATTCCTGGCATTGGGCCGCCACCACCTCCTCGGACTTTGGGTCCTCCATCAAGCCCCATGCACCGCCCACTCCTTTCCCCCCATATACACCCGGCCTCCAACCCAAACCTTTCTGGGAACCCTACAGGTATGATGCCCCCTCACCATGCCGGCCACATGCCAGGCTTGCCTTTCCCCCCAGTTAACATGATGTCAGCTGGACCCATCCCAGTTCCGCCCATTATGAATTTTGGCATGCCTTCTCTGGCCCCCTTAGTGCCACCACCAACATTATTAGTGCCCTATCCAGTGATTGTGCCATTACCAGTCCCCATACCCATTCCGGTGCCCATACCGTTCAGTCCGCAGGCATCAGGTGACCGACCAGGAAATGACGGAACACTTCCGAATACTGCAAGCGAGCGGAGCTTTTCAAAAGCACCGCCGTCATTTTCTCCCGGCTCCTCCAGAGGGGAAGAGAGGGACTTTCACCAAGACCCTCCCACCTCAGATACACTCTCTCCAGGATTTTCCAAACAGATGGACCAGGGTAGGACAAACATGGCTGATCTGTTGGTTAAAACAGAAAACTCTGGTAACAAAAGCTCTGGACACTCTCATAAAGACACACCAGCAGACGGAGTCATTGATCTAACGACCAGTTGGCGTTCCCGACAACAGCTAGTGATCCAGAGGGCTGTATCCTGCGTGCAGGTAAAAGCAGAGCCCGGGTTAAGCCCACCACCTGCACTTTTAAGTGAAACCGAGGTGGATGGCTCAGCTAGTTCTAGCATAGGTACGATAGAAGATAACATCAGAGACAGAAATGCTGAAAGCCCATTGGCTAGTGTGGCTCTGCCATGTGCTGACCCGTCCTTCTGCAGCGGCACGCCGCCACTTTCTCAACCAATCACGTGCAGTGCCTCCACTGTTTCTATCAACACCACCACATCTAAAACGGAGCCTGCCTCTGCTACTCCCTGCAATGTGATCGTTAACGGGAGCTGTAACGTGCCTCCAGCAGAGAGTTCGATCAGAACGCCTTCGCTAGAGCAGCGCCCTCTGGTGGACCCCTGCCGCAGGACTGCTGCTGTGTGCGACGAGCCTGCGGGCGCAGATCTAGAAGGAGAGGACCTGAAAGAGAACAGCTGCTTGGCCACAGAAAGAGACTTGGCAGGTAAAAGAAGCTCAAATGACCAGTCTGCCATTACAGCAGAAACAGGGGAGGACAAACCTCAGAGCCCTGAAGATGACCCATCTGGTGAGGACCATGCTTATGCCCTGCCCCTAATGCCCAAACCTGGCTGTGTCATTCAGCCCGTGCCCAAACCTGCTGACAAAACTGCTGCCATCTTGCCCTGTGGCTTGACAGCACCATTAACGGGAACCGTTCCAATGGAAATGGAGCCTCCGCTGAAGAGAAGGTGTCTGCGTATCCGCAATCAGAACAAGTGAAATAGAGGACAGGTGAGAATCAGATTTTGTCAACTTTCTTGGTAGTCATAAGTTTAATCTTTTTTCACACTATGATTGCTTTAAGCACTACAAATGCTGTCAAATATATCTGTGCTTTGTTACAAATTAGTTTTAAAGGAATAGTTTACACACACACACACACACACACACAAAAAATCTTTTAATTTATACATCAACCATGTTGCAAAACTGTATAATTTTCTTCTGTAAAAGACAAAAGCATAATTTGAATATTGTAGTTTATCGCTTAGTCCATGCAATTAAACAAGGAATTGGAGCTTTCAAATGGATGCAAGCAGGAAGCAAAAGCACCACAAAAGTATCACAAAAAAGTCCATGCTGTATCCGAAATCGCATACTTGGAGAGGATTTGTGAATGGCAGTGAAGTGACACAACTGATGCTGCAAAGCTGAATTTTCAGCAGCCATTACTCCAGTATACAGTGTCACAGATGTTGAAAACAGCGCTGCTTAATTAAAAAAAAATATAGATATATATATTATGAATAAAAGGTACAAAGGAAGAGCATTTATTTTAATAGTCTTTACAATCACTTTTGTTAAATTGAATGCACCCTTGCTGAACAATGTATTCCTTAAAAAAAAATACTGACTTAAGAGTAGTAGCCTATATTATGCATATAGTCCTATACAATAACTTTGTGTTATGAACAGAGCAAAACGTTACATTATAAGATGTTATAAAACAATGTTATTATACAATACATGGGAAATATTCCACTAAAGTGGGTTATTAACCGTCAGTCAGTTGAACCCAAGAAGTTTATCAGTCAAATTAACGAATTAGGCATTTAGTCTTGTTTTTGAACTAGATCAACTGATTCATTGTCCAATACTATATCCCTTTAATACTCTGATAACTCCTACATTTATCTCTGAATTGTTCCTTTAGCCACATGAACCATTCAAACTGATCGAAAAAGACCAACAAGGCTGAATGTAATAATTTACCCATCACTCCCTCTTCTCTCTTTAATTTTCCCCACCTCTCTTTCATAGATGTTACCATCTCACCAAAGGGAAAAAGAGGACTGCACTACAGCAGAGACCATCAGCTGTCCACAGGCTCCACAATTCAGCCAATCAAGATGTCAGCCTTGTTTTCTCCACCTTTTCAAACCCTCACATACACGTTCTGACTTAATATGCACAAAGATCATCCGGATTGGACAGAAGTCAGCTCCGTCTCCACCCCTTTCGGCTAAACAAAGACTGACACAAAGTGTTAATCTGGGAAGTAGATCGGCTGTGATGTTTGACCTCACTTGCGATGTCTTCAGGCATAGTCTGTTCTCAGTCTGCTTGTTGATGAAAGAGATATTTCCTGTCCTCTTCACTCAACCCTCCATCCATGTCTTGTTGTTGAGAAGATTTCCCCCTACTGGTTGGAGGCGGCATTGCAGTGCAAGTCTATGGTGTACATATACAGATTGCAAAGAGGGCAGAGCTTAAGCCAAACACAATAGGTCTGCCAGGCTGCCAATCAAACATGCTCATGAATATCTGAAATTGGAACAGGGCCTGTTAAATCCTGCCACAGATGGATGGACCAGTTTTCTGCTTTGCCTGTGCATTCAAAGAAGTTCGATTTAATCTGTCTGCACGTTTGTGGTCTGATGCTAGCGATTCAATAGCCTCAGTTTGAAAGACTAATACAGATGCAGAGCCGCTTTCAAAGATGGACAGAAAACTCTCTGAAAAGTCTCTCCACTCAAATCTTTCTCTCGCTCTCCCCCTCACTTCCTCTGACTATGCGTATCAGTATCTGCAACACCAGCAAAACACTCTGTAGTCTTTCTTAACCTCTTTCCTTTCTGTCCTTTCTGAGGGAGAGGTGTTCCGGAACTGGACACCAAAAAAAAATAACAGGAAGAGAGAAACGTACACAACCTGGAGGGAGTACAAAAATCACAGCGGGTGCACAAAAACAGAAGGATGGAGTGAACTTTCATTTCATCGCTGGGAAGATGCTGGAAAGTCATCCACCGTTGGAGAAGAAAACTAGAAGATAAGTAGTCTGCACTACTGGAGAAACGTGTTTGTGGATTGTTTGCTGGTTTATTGTGAACCAATGAAAATTCATTTACTCATCGATTTGACTTGAGGATTACAGGGTACAGACCTCACCAAGTATTTTGGCAAACTGTAAAAATGGCTGCTAGCTTTGTGGCCATTGGCTTGGAGACTGTCCCACCCAGTCTGTTCCATCACACAAATGCTCATTGCCATGCCGCATGGCTCAACCAAGAGTCTGTCTAACACTGCTGGTGGGTTGTGTACACACTGCACTGATGTATCAGATGGCTGGATTGAAATCAGTGTCCACAGGGGCATTTGGGTTGGATTTCTCATTATTTCTCATTGTCCATCATATTGCGGTGCTCTTATTTAAGAAAAATCCCTCCTGGGTTTCCTATCAGAGTACAATCAAAACCAGTGGAGAGGTCAGTAAGTGATTCGGGCAGCAGTGAGCTGGTGTCAAGGGTGCATTCCTGAAGTTCATTTGTGTTTTTTTTATGCTTTATTTTTTTTTGCCAAATCCCAATCAGTGCTAAATTATGTTCATCACTTCCTTTCCAGCTACGGTTACAGGAACAGTTCAGTTAGTTCCAAGGTGCCCTTAGTGTAGAGTTCACTTACACCAGATGCCAAGAACATTTTGCTTAAATGTGGACTGAGTTGGCTAGGTGGACATAGAGCCAAAATGATTTTAGTTACATAGAGTACTGTAAGATCCGAATGCAGGGTTAGCATTAGCACCTGAGTGCACAGGTTATTTGTTTTGACTAAAGTGGAGGAGTGAACCTTAAAGCTGCATGTGTGTGTGTGTGTGTGTGTGCGCGCGCGTGCGGCCGTGTGTGTGTGTGTGTGTGTGTCTAAAGTTCTAGTCAAAAATATGTCATGCAAGGTGATAGAAATCAGAATGAGGAAAAAAACAAATGACACAGATCAAACACACTCTCTGACGATTTGACAATTTACAATAAGGTTCATCAGTTAATATTAGTTTATATTATAGTTAATATTATTAACTAACATGAACTAACAATGGGCAATACATTTGTGTCAGTATTTATTAATCTTTGTTAATATTAGTCAATAAAAATACAGCTGTTCATTGTTTGTTCATGTTAGTTTACAGTGCATTAACTAATGTTAAAGTCCCCATGAATTCAAAATTGACCATACTTACTTTGTTTGCCTAAATTGATCGTTTTGTGGTGAACAATTCATCCATGCAAGTCAATCCACACAAAAAATTTTTTTGGCTTCGTAATCTTTAATCAAAATCTGAAATTTCACCTCCCCTCTGCGTTGGAGGACCTTGTCTGATGACGTAGGTTTCACGGTTTGGGCGTCTTCTTAACATCCATAATCACGCCCCTCCAACTGACAGTAGACAGGCTGAATGAAAACACCTACTTTTCTAGATCCAATCAGGTGCTAGTTGGGAAAAAAGCCACGCCCACCATTTTGCCTCATTTAGTCGGAAATACGTCACAACACTGGAGAAAAGTCGTTTGCAACTTCCGGTTCACGGGGACTTTAACAAATACAACCTTTGATTTTAATAACATATAAGTAAATGTTGAAATTAATATTAATAAATGCTGAAGAAGTATTGTTCATTCTTAGTTCATGTTAATTAAGGTAGTTAACTAATGTTAACCAATGAACCTTATTGTAAAGTGTTATCGACAATACTTACGAATTCTCTCTGAAGGGAAAAAAATTCAGTTACATGAAAAGAGGAATAAGACCTAAACATTTCCCTTTCTATTTAAACAATTTTCTGAGAGCAGAATTTAAGATAAGACATTTGTAATGCTTTTGTTTACTTTTTGTTTTATTTCTTTTTGTATTTTTTCAATTTCCTTTTATTTAAGGTTTCTGTTTTTGTTTCGTTTTTTCTTTGTTTTTTTCTGTTTTTTTTCCCTTGTCTTTTGTCTTTGTTTTGTTTACTTTTGTAATGTTCTTTTTTATTTGAACTGGCCAACACTGACCCAAATCTCCCCTCTCTTGCCTTCAACCTCTCTGCCTCTTTTCCCCTTTCTTTTTTTTTTTTTTTGCTCTCTGCTCTTGGACGATGTACAAAGAGGAGTGCAATCCTACCCTATCCCTCTGTACTTTTTGCTGCAGGATTCAGTTTCACAGTGGTATATTTTTTTTAAGAGTGGGCTCAGAGGTCTAATTGTGACTGGTTAGAGTAAGGACTTGATTTCTCTCTGGGGTTTGTATGTGGCAGAGTCTCATTCCAGTGTCAGATTTAAACACACACACATTCCTGTGTCAGATTTATTTTGTCAGTCCTGATACGGCTGGCTGACCCTACTTCTGGATTGAGGAGTTACAGAGAACAGATTGATAAAAAGGGCAAAATGTCAGCAAAGCACAAAGCACACACACCCAAAGTGCACGGTCAATCTCTGTGTTTGTTGTGTTTATGTGAGCGCAAGGGAGAAACAGTGAATCTCAGTGTTGATCTGTGTGTGCGGTGAAACCAAACGTACATTACATGTCTGGATTGGTCGTGAGGAGCCAGCAACAGCATCATATGTCGCTCTCATTATTGACTCAAATTTCCTCGCTTTTTCCCCCTCTCTCTCCTTCTCCTCTTTCATACTGAGCCCTTTTACTTCTCCCTTCTTATTTGATTTCTTTTACTTCTCTAAGTAATTATTTATTAAGTTAGCATTTCAAATATTCCATAGTGTAGGCTACTATACTTATGGAAGCCTGTTTTAATCTTAGAGTAAAAAATAAAAATGTAATTGTGAGAGTTTAAAATAAGAACATAAATCACATTGTGAGAAATTAAGTCACACTGTGGGATATAAAGTCACAATTATGAGAATTAATCGCAATTGCTAGATTGAGGGGCCGTTTACACGACACCGTTTTTACTGTGTTTTCGGAGCCTGCATAACACAAACTTTTGAAAACTGGTTTAAAAGTGCGAGTTTTTGAAAACGATACCGTTATTGTGTCCGTGTACAAAAACGCGAATTTGTGAAAATGGCGACGTCAAGCACAATGCGTATGTGTTCAAACTATAGTTCCCTTTCGTTGTCACTCCGAGTTCCGTCGGATGACGACGAATGGGGGTTTCGCTTAGAAAGCCTATCGACTTCGAGTATACAAAAGCAAGCCAATGGCAAAGAAATGCCATGGGTCTGCGGAATTTGCCTAGCGTAACTCCGCCTCACCTCGTGGGTATTTAAGGAGAACGCTGGCAGCAAATAGGCATGTTTTCGCTTCGGAGCCAAGAGTATCTCTTCACTCCACAGCCATTTCTGACTTCACTCTACGAGACGAGCCACTCTCTCCGGTGTTGGTGTGTTGGCGATCTGCAGCGAGTTCACATTGCCTGCTGATCTGTGCAGTGATCTGCCAATGAGTGTGTTTCTCCCTGCTCGCTTCAACATCGCAGAGTTTTTTTCTCCTCTCATAAAAGAGCTCGCACGTGGCACGTCTTTTTAAAGACGGCTCGCCCGTGCATTTCTGGTTGCGCTCGACTCATTTACGATTTTGATGGGCACATTCTCTGCTCTGCGTGCTTGGGCTTGATCACACTAGAGCAGCGTTTGTGGATGACTCACGTTCTCCCCGCGGGAACGTGACCATCGCGTCATTACGGTCGAGACTCAATGATCTCGTTAGAGAGAGAGTCCCCTCATCCACACCCCAATCTAACACTCTCCACGTGAGGTGCTACTTCGGCTGGTGGCCAGGGTGACCTGAGGGTGTGAGTGTGGAACAAATCCGCCGACTGTTTGTCCGTGGACCATGCCCCCCTCTTCAGTGACGCAACCCGCGAGTGTTCAGGGGATTCCCCGGGTCTATTTTCGGATGCCCCGCGGGTTTCCCTTGACGCTCCAGAATCGGATCTGTTGTCCATCGCAGCATCACAGGGTGGGCTAGAATCTTCAGGAAGTGAAGATTCGACAGTGCTGCCACTTTCGGGTGTTCACATGGCATTTGTCGAGTCAGATCCTGAGATGACGGCCATGCTTTCCCGGGCCGCTGCGAGCATCGGACTAGAGTGGAACCTTTCACCCTGTCCGAGCGCTCGCTGCTGGACGATTGGTTTTGGGTGTGGCCGCTGACTCCTGTCGGCGTCCACTCCAATGCCTTTCTTCCCGGATGTGCATCAGGAGATCTCGAAATCCTCGAAGACCCCCATGTCTTCCAGCGATCCTTCGTTGATCTCCTCCGCCCTTCCTTCCCTCGACGGGGCCGCTGCCCATGGGTACACTGGGGTCCCCCCGGTTGAACGCTCTGTTGCGATGCTACTGTGTCCTCAGAGTGTCTCCTCTTGGCGCGATCCTAAGCACCCGTCCAAAGCCTGTAGTTTTTCGTCTACACTTGTGGCGAATTCCTGTAGCGCTACAGGACAGGCAGCCGCCTCAACGCATGCCATGGCCATTCTGCTGGTCTACCAGACCCAGATGCTCACGGACATGCACGAGGGCGGGACTGACCCAGGGCTCTTTAATGAGCTGCGTGCCGCCACTGACCTTGCTCTCCGAGCGACGAAAGTGGCCGTACGCTCCCTGGGTCAGGTGATGTCCACCATTCTGTGGCTGAACCTGTCTGATGTGCAGGATGTCGGGCGGACCCTTCTGCTTGACACCCCCATATCCCAGGTCGGCCTCTTCGGCGGTGCGATTGAAGGCTTTGCCCAACAGTTCTCGACCGCCCACGAGCAGACTGAGGCTTATTCTGCCCCGACGGCCCCGCCGTCCGAGCAGATCCCTCGGTCTGCCCACCGCCGAAGGCGCCCTCCTGCGGCTCCCACCCCGCCCGTTCACCCGGGCTGGCTCTGGAAGCCGCAGGGGGACGCCACAGCCCTCTCCAGCCCCACCCCCGCTATACGCCGGGTTAAGCGGCACTTTTGAGATGGGCTGCTCAGAGATGGGACTCAGTTCTTTCCAGGAGTTGGTAGCAGGGCCACTCCTTTCCCTGGTGGAGGGCCGGGGAAGAATCCTTATTCCAGAAAGAACTGACTCTCCCGTCTCTGAGCACACAGAGTTCTCGGACGACACGGTGCGACGTCCCCGGGCTGTGCACCCCTCGTCCTCCTCTGTCCCAGAGCCGGATGACAGTGCGCGCCGTCCCCGGACCGTGCCGCTCTCATCCTCCTCTGTCGCCAGACCCCTGGCAGAGCAGACTCCCGTGGAACGTTCGTCCTTCCCTGGTCTCCTCTGTCAGGACGCGGTCTATGGCTGTACCCCCACACCGGGCCGCTATGCCGTCCACGTCTGGGTCAGCCATACCGCCTCGCTGCTCCACCGACGGGAAGTCTGTGGTTCGCATGACCCCGCTGGTACAGTCCTTGGGAGCCTGGCTAGAGCTTCCCAACCTGTCCCGCGCGAACGATCAGGCTTGGCTACGCGATTCAGTTAGCGTGGTCTCCTCCCCGCTTCAGGGGAGTCTGCTCCACTATGGTCGGTGGCAAGGCCCCTATCATGAGAGCGGAGGTTGCTACCCTGCTGGCGAAGGGTGCGATCGAGACTGTCCCTCCAGCCGAAATGAGGACCGGCTTCTACAGCCCGTACTTCATTGTCCCAAAGAAAACCGGTGGGTTACGGCCAATCCTGGACCTGCGCGTTCTGAACCGCTCCCTTCACAGGCTGCCGTTCAAGATGCTCACCGCCAAACGCGTTTTCGAATGTGTGCGGCACCAGGATTGGTTTGCAGCGATCGACCTGAAGGACGCCTACTTTCATGTCTCCATCCTCCCTCGACACAGACCGTTCCTGCGGTTTGCTTTCGAGGGGCAGGCATATCAGTACGCAGTTCTCCCATTCGGGCTGGCCCTATCTCCTCGCGTCTTCACAAA